ATTATTGGCCAAAAACTCTACCTCTTATAGACACCTAGCAAAGAGTCATTCCATTTTTGAGGCATAGAATGCACCTTCTATATGCTAAATTGTTAAACACATAGGCTTTAATAATTTATTTCTATGTTTTATAATGGAACTAGATGGGAGGTCTGGAATTAATTTCACCTAACTTTAAGTTTCTATTAGTCTTCTGCATGCAAATTAGTCTATAAAGTTGCAATTTATAGTCAACAGAGAGAGATAAATACTTTTGGAAGCAATTTAATTGCATACCTTAGGGCAGGATGAATTACATTCCATAAATTCATATTCCGCTTCAGATATTTTAAAAGAAACCTACTCACTGATTTTAAATTCTACCCTAGGTCTTTTAAAGACAGTCTTAACATATAACTATTATGATAAGAACATCATGCATGTTTTCTATCTGCAGTCCTCATTGTCATATGTTCAGAAATGTTGACAATATGCTTTTATTTTCTTTAATTTCTTGAGGAATGGTGGGCCAGTAACACAGATAGACAGATTAGGAGTTATGTACCATAAATAACTTGTTAAATCATGAAAAGAAGAGTCTGTACAAGGACAATATTTATTGAGGGCAATGTTTTGAAGGCAAATCAATGTCATTATCCTTACAAGTGAAGCTGCAGCTCTACAAACTCTCTTACACAATAGACTTTTGTTGCAACTTTAGAGTTATAGAAACAACTACAAAGATTTTTTTATGCCCTTGACAGAGTACTTGTAACATACATATGTGTACTTTATTGATAGATAAGGTATTATTAGCATCTTAACCCCCCTTCCAGGCAGGTAACTTATTTACACTCAATAATACTTACCTTTTAGCATATTTCTACTTGAAATACACAGTCCCAATAGTCTGCTGCAACAATAAGAAAGAAAATATCAGCTGAAAGAAAATACATGGAAGAGCCATACCCTGGTTTAAAATACTCTATTCAAGAAAATAATTCAAGATGAATTCCAGCAATTTTTAATTCCAACATTTTTAAAGTAAGCTAACATTACAGAAATATTCCCAGAAGACGTGTCTATTAGGAACTTGCCACAGAACTTGGCATATTTTTATATTGGGCCAGCTGAAAATCTTTTACTTTCATCTGTAGCATTTTATTCCTAATTTCCAAACTTTCTATAGGAGATAAGGATGCCAAGTTAACATTATACTTATGGTTTATTAATGAGGTTTAACATACTGAAAATTCAGGGAGGGAAGGAATTACCGAATGGAAAAGATTGAAATGAAACAGCTGCATGTTAAAAATACCTTCTTTTTAATATTTAATTTTTTATTATTGTGACCATATGCCTATGGTGAGGTCATATAGAGTTCAATCATGTAAAGTTACATTACTATTTTAAACTACTCAATAATAATTAGCCTTTGGAAAAGTAAATGAATACCTTGATCTTGAGCTGGTTGAAACTCATTATTTAAAAGTAGGGTTAATTGGAACCATTATGTAAATATCAGGATAGCTCTAAATAGAAAAATACAATATGGAGGTTTTGAGTACTAGGTTTGATAGGCTTGGAGCTGATTTCCATTTATGGTTAATTGTAGAGTTAGTCCCAAAAATCATAATTTTGTATTGATCCTCTTATTACATTTGGTAAACAAAATAATAAGCAAGTTGGACTAAACATGAGGATGTTATTGTTATTATTTTCTAAAGAAATATTAATTTATTTTCATAAAAGAGCGTACATGATCTGAGCATCAAAAAAACTTACCCAATATTTTTGTGACTAACATCTAAGTTAAAAATTAGGACAATTTTCAATCTAACAGCTGAGTTTCTATCTGGGCATGAAGAAAGGATACAAAACTTAAGAAAATGTGGAAAGCATCTGTTCTTCCTATGCAGAGTAATTAAACTACAGAAAGCAACCTTATTCTTGTCTTGAAGGTTAGCAATACACAGAATATTATATGTATTTCTAATATACAGAATTCCACAGTGTATATTGATAGATAATGTTAGGGGTTTGGTGAGCTGTTTCCCAAAAATATCTTGGAATAGCAAGCTGAATAAATATGTAGATCTAATAAAAAGGCCAAAAATTGTTTTACTGAGAAAGAATTTCAATGTATCTATCTGCAGGCAATCAGGCCACAGCTGTAGAATCTGAAGCAATCATGAAAGTGAATGTTCTTTTGAAGTAGGCTGGACTGAATCGCTCAGAAACATACCAGGTGCCAGAGCACTAGAGCACTTGCCATATTTACCAACATGCCATATTTACCAGAACTGTAGGGCACTGAGTCCCAAGCAGCTTTTTGAGGAGGAGTCATATTTGGAATGAAAAAAATATGAAACTGTGATGAAGTAGATTTGCATTAATTTGAGAAAGTTGATGCAAAATGTGAAGCAAGAGGGTATATTAGAAAAAAAAATTAAAAGCACCTTTTCTAACTTTGGAACCCACTCCCTATTTTAAAAACAATCATACAATCTTTGTATAATTATAGTTATACCAGCATAGCAACAATACTTCAATTATTTTTCCCCATCCTATTTATAGTGTATCTAATATTCTTACATTAGGTAGAATACCAAGAATCATAAAATCTTAAAATGGCTTGGTTTGGAAGTGACCACTAGATTCCACCCGCTAGATGGATTTGCTCAGGATCCCAGTGAACCTGACCTTGAACACTTCCAGGGATGGAGTATTCCACTTCTCTGGGTAACCTCCTCTGTTGTCTCACCACTTTCAGGGTCAAAAAGTTTCTTCCAAACATCTAACCTACATCTCTCCTCTTATAGTTTAAAACCATTGCCCCTTGACTTCTATCCATCTGTGTAAACATCTCTCTACCTCTTTTTTATAAGCCATTTTAAGGTAGCAGAAGGCTATTATAAAATCTGCCCAGAGCCTTGTCATCTCCAGAATGAACAATTACAACTTTTTAAGTCTTAATATATCCATGTGGCAGTCACCAAAATATGAGAAACTCATGCATATAATTGGTTCCCATAATGTAATTCATTCTCTTTGGAAGAACACTGTAGATTTTCAAAGTGCTACGGAACTTATATGTCTATTCCATCAAAGGAAACTTGGAGAAACCAGCAACCTGTGTGTTTTCCTTCAAGCCCTTAATTTAAAAAATGCACATGAATACCTAAATTTATTTCTGCTTGATTGCCCAGTCTATAAATGTGGTGATATTTCTCCTAAAGTTACAACTGTCTCTGCTCAGGTAACATAAATGCCTTAGCCGTCAAGCCCTCATGATCTCAATAATTCTTGACAGAAGAAGCATATTCTGAAGGTATTCCTGTATGCTTTACACTCTGTTTTTATTAGCATAGGTGCAATGATTACAATACGTCTTTCTTTCAATAACTCAGTTCTGTTCTTTGCAATAACTCAAGGCTTCCCACTTGGCAGGATGGCTTCATCTACTTGAAAAACTTTCTGTTATGGTAGGGTATCTTGTGATAAGCTAGTTAAAACTTCATGGGGAGGGTGACCTCAGCTCTAGTTCCTGTCTTTCTGCTCCTTCATGAAGGCTATCTCAAACAGGATCAGATTTGTCAGAATCACATATCTATAGTTTCAGGTTCCTGAGGATTCCAAAGATTAAAGGAAACCTCCAAGCTTTCTTTGAAATTTCTTGTCTTTTTGCTAAGCAAGGCCTGCCACATCAGTTCATATTTTACTATTATTCTTAGCTGCAACATCTAAAAAATGTCATGTCTCAGAAATTGTGCCTACAGAAATTATTCAGTATTATCACCAATCTTTCCTTGTTAAGCTATTGTGTTTACACTGAAAGGGTGGCTACTTTGTAGTTCTCATGTCAAGAGTGTGAAAGACTAAACTAGTGTGAAAGACTTACCCTTTTATTATGAACACTTCCACACCTGCCCTTTAAGGAGGTAAATCTGCTAGTCATTAACTGTCCTGGACTTGAATATACTTGTTGTACTAGTGATTAAACTTCATTATGGATGAGGACTTGTAATTTTTTTAAAAACTACTAAAATGTCAATTTCTGCATTGGTATCATGTCAGATATTGCAGACAATAAAAAGTAGTTTTCCGATAGCTATGATTTGCATTTCACCCTACAATCTTTATTTGGGTAGGTTGTATAACATACAGTAATTTTTTTGCAACTCTCAATTTAAGTGTGAGCACTAAAGTACTGCATAAAGGAAGGCAGAAGTTAACTCCAAGGCTGTGCAAATTTATTGTACATAAATTTTGTTAGAAAATATTGCTTTATTGCCACTCTACTGTATACCTAAATTTAAGTGTATAAAATTAGTGTTTTTAAATGTTGAATCTCTGCTATTCATTAACAACATGTGCATTTATAAGTAATGTCCCAATATATACACATTGGAGTTCAGTAATTACAGATTTGCTTATCCATCTGTGTGAAACATATTTGGTAGGTATCACTGTCAGAATCTATAAAAACATCACCAGTTTGTCGTGGCAACAGATGGCACAGAAACTGACCATCAAAGTTTGCATATTTGGAAAGACCTGCTCCCTGCTAATAACTAGATTCAGCAGTTGATGTCTACTTGCTAACTGAGATATGACAACAATACTGTTTTATTCGCTATTACTTCTAGGACTAGTAATGTGTCTTACAATTTGCTCCAGCGTGATACTGACAAATAAAAAAATGGACTGACATGGCTAAGGATGATGTCCCATGAAAGTTAGGGAGTAATAATAAGTCAGTATGTGACTGACCACAGCAGTATCAAAGCTGACTTTATCTCACCACAGAGGAGACCAGAATGTGGCCAAATTGTAAAAACTTATCAACAGCTGAGTAAATCAATGTAATGTTTTTCTCTGTATCCATTCATTGAATTGACTGACTACCCTGTGGTAGTCAGACTAGAGGGACGTAAGGGTTTCAGTCATAAATTCCAGAATTTCCCAAACAGAAAATTGTATAAAATTAGAAATTACTGTTGCTTCTGTATTCTTAAACACTGCCAAGTCCCTCTTTGCATTTCTAGTCTAGGCAAAACAACATAGTTTGGGAGTTAATGAAGTTGTCAGTACCTTCTGGACCCATTGGGAGCCAAACTTATTATTTCCTGCAACAAGACTTTTAACACTGCCTACACTACTGTGCAATTTAATAAAGTTTGTTCTCAGATGTTCTCAAAATGACCTAATAAGAAATGTGTCTTCTTTGGTTTCTAGGATGGCAGCCTCCTGTCCACACTACTCCATTTCACTGGTCAGGGCTCTGAGGCTCTGGGACACAGCCTTGACTGGGTCAACTGCCATGGTAATTCCTTGATAATTTATAATACTCTTTTACATTCAGGACCACCAAATCTGATAGAATGGGTCCTATTCACCTGTGCTAACCCTTCTATATAGCTTGCTATCATCTGAAACAAATGATCAAATGATCTTACTCAACAGGTGGTATGTAATTTTTTTCCATTTCCAATTTTTGTCATTAACATTATCTGAGCTACCTTTCACTGTCCTAACTCCCCTGCTCAATTGCTACTTGCTTTTATACATCAGGTAGCTCTTCCTGCCTGAACTTGTTGTACCACAGATAGTGAATGCAAAACATCTGCAAGGGCATAGTGCTGAGTCTTGCACTGCTGCTTCTGCTCTTTAAACATCTTTTTTTTTCAGATTTCAAATACTTAAATTCCTTCCGACGAGCTGTAAATTTTTCCCCAATTTCTTTCTTGACTGTCTTTAACAGACTATTCAGATTATTTGTAACTTTACTCAAAGCTGTACTTCAGCTGCCTTAAGCATCTTCTGTAGGTTTAGAGTTATCCTGCGGGAATACAAGCAATTTTCCTGCTTTTTATTCAGAAAGGCTTACAGCTTCCTTGGCAGATGAGCTGTTCCCCAGAACTATCCTAAACAGGAGAAAATTACTCTCTCAGTTTTCCCCATCATCCTAATAAAAACACATTCCTTAAATTTTAATTTTCCTGCTTCTACTTGTGGTCATACATTTAAGCTTGTATTTTAAATCCAAGCCAACAAACTACATTTGCTAAAAAAACCCAGACTTTATATTCCATTTTAGTTAATATGTTATAGCTGGAACTGTGATATCTCACAGTCATCCTCCTTTCCAAAATGCTGAAGTTTAGGCAAACCTGCATAATAAAACCCATTTTTAAGAAACTTGAACCACAGAGTACAAGGAATAAGCATGAGTTGTATTGCATTGCATGCAAATTCTATGCTTCTAAGTAGTTTTCTAATATAGTAGAAGTAATAACTGTAAAAAAGGTTTATTCCTGAGCACTAAACTTCTAAGATAAGTGTTTATTGCCATAAATTGTAGTTACTGGCGGCAAGACAGCTGACTAGGGTCTTGAAGGCTGAGTTTAAGTTTTACTACCCTTAAGATTGATATTCACTGTCAATCTAGCAAGAGATAAAGCTAAAGACATGTATTGAAGTTTTAAGAAGAGATTTTACCCAGAGGAGCTATATCAGAAATTTCTGCATTGCTAGTCTATATATTTCAGTTTACATTCTATTAGCCATAGTAGTGCTGGTGATACAAATTACAGTCTGAGTAAGCTTTTCTTTTTTATTATTATTATTTTTTAAAAAATTATATTTAGATAGTTCTGTTTCAAAACTCTTTGAAGCTGAATTTTATCAAATAGATAAAAGTAGATGATTTCTTCACTATAGTGTAGCGTGATGACCTTTTTCTTAAACAAGTATTTTGCCACAATTCCCAGCATTTTCTTGCAAAGAACAGCTTTAAATATCAAATATAATGTTAAACTATATTGATGAAAAATCTTGGAAAATTTTATCTCTTTCTTCTTGCAGCAGAAATTAATATTTCAAATAGACTGTCAGATCTTTATGCTCTGAAGGGTTCTCAGAGCCTGGTGGCTCAGCAGCGTATGTCTGCCTACAGCACGCCAATGCCAAGCATCGACAGAGAGAGGTCACCAAGCATGAAGCTGCTGAAGCAGGCAACACTGGAAATCTTGGATACCTCTCGATAGATCAAGAAATCATTTGGAAGGTGAAAAGTCTTTAAAGAGTCTGCTGATCATTTCACTATTGAGTTACCTACTTGCATTCCAAAGCCATCCAAAAGATACTCCAAAGTCTTGTTTTTTAGAATTTAAATTAGCTTGAACTAAAATTAGTGCATCAGAAATTAGCATTTTGTTATGATTTAGATCAATCTTCCTTTTTTTTATGATTACAGTAACAATTCCACATTTAAATGTATGGGTTTTAAAAAAATTATTAAGTTTTATGCCTCTACAGTCAATTAATTTCCTTTCATATTCCATATTAGGTTTTTCCCACATAAACTTTAGGAAAATATGAAGCCAATAAATTACACATTTATTAAAATAGATACCCAATCATATTTTTAAGCAATCTTCACCTAAAAAAATTAAATTATGGAATTAATTTAGAAAATAATTATAAGCTGTAACTAATTTGACTGCATGCATTATTAAATAGTAAATTAAAGAAATGAAATATAGAGAGCTAAGAAAACCATTGCTAATTTTATTCTGTATAAATTTTAAAAATTGTTAATATAATTCTAAATTTAGATTATTCTGATTTTAATTCTTCTAGTTTCTAGAACAATAGAAAAAATATTCCTGTCTCATTTAGAATCTGTAAATAATTTTAGATGTAAATATGTTTTTCCCATATTTTTCCATTGAGAAAAACACCTACCTATAGCTGAATCTGTAAAACCCATTGATTTCTAATCATTTGGAAAAGTGTTTTGTCTGTATGGTTCTACAGTGAATTCCATAAATACGTCAAGTAATTCCTTTCCGTATAATCCATCTGTGACACTGTATGACTTCATGTGGTCCAGCTTCCTTCTCCCTGTGGTCTGTTAATATCCCATCCATATATATATATAAAAAAAAGATAGGAACATTGAATTGGCTGATAAAGCTTTTGTAATCAGTTGATTTCTACTGACAGTATCCAGCTCAAAACTACTGAATGTTGCTGATGCACAGTAGCAGGAGTAGTTCATTATTTCTGCTTTGGCTCCAGCTCTTTCAAGAGGAGGAAAAAACCTACTTTAATCAAAAGCTGAGCATCTTAGGATTTACTGGGAGACCTGATTCTTTGAAAAGTCTTTGATTCTTTGAAAGGGGTCAGAGTGACATTTCACTAATGGTTTTCCTTTCTTCCACTTGGCAGAGCATCTAGTCTGTCTTGTAATCAGGCTACGAATAGGACAGGGGGAATCAAAGCAGGTACTGATGTTTAGACACAAAATGGCTTACCTGAAAGCTGAAGTATTTTATGAATGGTTTCTGTAAATATCCATAAAAGAAGAGGTAATATGGGCTTCAATTTAGGATCACTTGGTTTCATAGGTTTGGTACTCAAGAATAAATTTACTCTCAGACCCTTGGAATTAACCTTGCAATGTTCAGCCTTTAGATATTTCTTTTGTTTGTGTAATCTTCGTCCTCAAATTTGCTGCACTACACAATTGCATATTGGGAATGAAGCTATAATAATTAAGGAACTGATTTGCACCTTTACTGAGCTAATTAGCTTTAAATCAAATAGACATGAAAGTGTTACCTAATTCAAATGGCATTCCTTCTATTATTTTAATAGTTATTGTTTTGATTACTATTAATTAATCATTTATTATTATTATTATCATTGTTGATGTTGTTGTTATTGTTGCTGTTTTTATCTTTACTTTGCCATTTCTATTGATTGTGTCGTCACTCTTTGCCTTCTTTTTCTTTTAGGAGCCATGAAATTCCAACATAAAAGAATTAGCCTTGCAAAAACCTCTTCTATTTTACCTCATATATTGTTCAACTCATAACACTGGGATATCTTAGCCTACAGTGAGAACTCATTTTTATCTAATACACATAATTAGGCCAAATCAATGGATTACAGATTAAACAAGCAGGGAATTTAACTATGACTGGAAGAACATTATGGATCAGAAGTCCTAATAATATATGGCCATCATTTTAAAATGCTGGTTATTTATTGAAAATTTTATCTTGAAGTGGCCTGCAAGAAACTAGCAGCTTTTAAGTTCTTACTAATTTACTTCACTTGACAACAAATATTTATTTACATTAATTTCACATTTGGTCACATATTGAATGGTTACTGAGCCCTGAGTTTTGCTTGTTTTAAAATAAAACTGTTAGGTCCTTTGCTTGTTGTTAAATAAAAAACCTAGAAATCTGAAGTAGTTTTATGAGTCTTACCTGTTTTTACCAATTTTAAGCATGTTTTCTACTGTCCATTCTGAACCACTTACTTAGTGTTGTGTGGGAGATTTTTCTCTTCTGAACATGTTACCACTTCATATTTGCATAGAACTGAAATTTATTTGACAATGGTATGGTCCTTCCTTTCTGTTATATCTCTAGTATAGACAGATTTGAATATCAGACCACTCTATAGATCTGCACCATTTTCCTTTGTCTCTCTTTTATTTTTCCTCTATTTTAAAGACAAAGGATCCTCTAATGAATTGAATTTTTTTTATTTATTCTAGTTCACGCACCAGTAAATCAAGAGAGCTACTTCTGAATGCTGTGTCTATACGAAAAAGAGTAGTTATTTGTGGTTCTCCCCAGCTCTAACATATATACAGTGGTACTAGCTAAAAAACTGAGGTGTTTTTTAGGCCTGTTTTTAAGTTTTACCTTGCCCACCAGAATTCTGTTTGATTCTTTGATATCTCGCTAATTCATCAATATAAGATTTGCATGCATTCTACCATCCTTCCTTTTGCAAAGTAATTTGAAAACACAAGAGACAGGCTATTTAGAGAATCTGACTTTTGTTTTGTCCTCAATTAGATTTTTAGATGGCAGGAAAAAAAAAAATAAAAATGTCACGATTGCTGGCAAATAAAAAGTTCTGCATGAGTGGTTTTTAATAGCTTATCATCAACATATAATCGAACTGAGTAATTGCTGCATAAGAGAGTGACTCTGAACCAGCAGCTGCCCCTGGGCAGTACTTTGTTGAGGAATGTCACTGCGACAAAAAGCGCTGGACACATAATGCATCATCAGCATTTGTGCTGTGGGCATGACATCTAGGTGGATGGGAATCACCGGGCTGTGGTAAACGTGAGTGTGCCAATGACATCTGAGTGGTATTAGATGGATAGGGGGCAAGTGGAAAGACAAAAAAGGCAAAAGACAAAGAAGCCAAAAAATTGAGAAAAACAGCTTTTACGACGAAATGGAAATTACCTTCAATGCTGCAGTGCACCACTGACTTTGACAGCTGAAGCAGCAGCAGAGAGAACTTGACAAAGATATTGGTTATAGCAATTCTGTTGCAAGAAGTTAAATCTGTTTGGTTCTCCACTGGCTATATTAATCAGTGTTCTTCCAAAAAGACTAGACTGAACAGAAGAATATTTTCTTAAGGTAATAAGAAATGACTTGAAAGCCTAGATTTCTGTGTGTGTGTGTATATCAACACATGTCTATATTTATGAACTAATGAAGCATGAGAGTTAAAATAATTGTGTACTTTTTGCTCACTGGGCTTGTCCTGGTTTTGGTCAGTTAAATTTTTGCTGTAGCTGTGAGAGGGCGGAGCCTGGAGCCATATAGGCATGTCCAGGTTGTTATTCCATATCAGGTACATCATCCCTGGGGGGCAAAAGTAAGGGACTCTTGCTTTCGGGGAGAGGGGCATGGCTTGGGGTTGAGAAAAACATGGTGGGAGGAGGAAACACATCAGCCATTATATGGGGTTGCCAGAGGGCCCAGGTAAGACACTTGCTTGGCAATCACCCTCTCCTTTTGTATACTTTTATAATCAGTATTGTTTCCCTTACTGCTCTGTTTTCTTATCTCATTGCTGTTTCCAGTCAATTGCGCTTATCTCAGCCCATGATCTCTGCATTTTGTCTCTCACAGGATGGGGAGGGGAACAGTTTGTGGTTTTCTTTTTGCTGGAAGTACTAAATAGGGGGATACCACTCCTAAACCAGGATAAGATCAAAGGCTGTGTTATTCAAAATATGAAAAAATTTTGTAATTAATATATATGTTCGCTTTATTTAATTCCCCTTATTAGATGCTGTATATCAAAACTATAAGCTTATATATTAGGATTAATTAAGACTTATATACCTTATAGACCTTTCCTCCTAAACCTTAATTTCTGAAAATTTTCCTTTACTATTTCATTGAGGTATCAAAGCTGAGTAGAGCTTATGTGGTTATTACTATATAGGCAAAAAAGAGAACTTTGATATTATACCACTGGGAAATAGCATTCAATATAATTTACATTTAGATACTTGAGTGAAATGCCTTATATAAAGTCACTGGTTCTGTTAGTAGTGGAACCCTGCATAACTCTGTCTCTGTCTCTTGTGTTTAGAATATATTGTTTCTTACATCTATTGCTTTCACATTATGAAATGAAAATCATACTCTATGTTACCAAATGTAAAAATTTGACAATTTCCTTATAGTACTAAGATGAAAAAAAAAAAAAACACATTCACGGGCCAGATTCTACTCTCATGATTAAGCTTTCCTTTATATGAAAGCATTTATCTTTATAATGTATCTCTAGGCCACATTTTCTCCATCAGTCAGGGTACAGTGATGTTTAGTGCCAGCTGCTTGCAGCAGGGCGTGTTTAGCAGAACTGGCAGTGACAGCCGCTAGTGTCTAAACTGATGTTCCTGAATTGCTTTGAGCCCCTCAGCATTATGACAAGTAACCTAAGCTGAGAGTTTGTTTCACTGCTTTTATGGAAGGAAAAGCTGAGTGCAGGTGTTCACTCACAACCTGGGCACTTCTGACAGCAAACATGAGCTAGGTCACAGCTAACGTGGCAGTGAAGCATTTTGCAGTGTGCCAAACTAACCCAGCATGGGAGAGATTTGGGTCCAGCATGCTTGCTTGTCTATCCCCCTGTCTGAAACTAATCACTCACAGAATCTGTGCACTGGAATTAATAAGTCACACAAACCTGTGCTGCAGAGCACTTGGTCTGTAGCAGGGAGTTGTATGTCTACCTACAAGAGTTGTTATGCATCTGTCAGCTAACACACAGATTCTTATGTGAGCTCCAGCAGCTGGGGCATCGGGCAGATATCCAATTCTCTCTGAAGGCTTGTGTCTCTACTAACCAGTGAGTTACACTCATCCAGGCACGTAATATTTTTGCATCTACAGTAGTTAAAACATGGGCTCTTCGCCTTTTAAAATCATGGGCTATGTCTACAGCTTCTGATTGCAAGGAGTTAGCCTCTGTTTTGATGGGGTTTAGACTAAAAGTGTCAGAGGATAGAGGTGGAAGGAAATAGCTTTTACTAGCAGATGAGAAGGAGCGTGGTATTTTGGAAATGTAGCCTGGCTGTCAGTGAGGTGATCGACTGACACACACTGAGCTGCTGTGGTGGAGCAATACTGCCAGCTGAAAGCTTTGAGAGCCCTTTCCTTTTACTAAGAGGCTTTCCCATTTTACAAAATGCAGCCTTCTCACTGAGAATGTATTTTATGTTATGTATAACATAAGCTGACACACTTCAGTTGAATGCAATTACTGTAACCAGAGGCAACACAGTCAAAATAGCAAAGTCTGTACTCCTTGTAAAAATATCTATTAATTATTATGTGGATCTTTCAGCTGCATCCAACATTTTTATTTTTGAAATTAGGTCAGTCTGGGTTAGTAATGTCAGCTAAGTTATATTCAAATATTAAGACAAAAGGAAAAAAATGTACATACAGAGAAAAATTCAGGAACTCAGCTTTAATGCTTGGGCTCTAGGGATTCTATTTTTTCTTTTTCTTTTTCTTTTTCTTTTCCCCAAGCAGGCTATACCTTTCTACTGGGAGAAGGAGGCTTAATTTTGGCTGCCTGAAACATCATGACAAAAAACCCTTACTGTAGCAATCCACTTTAGATGTTCTGCATCTCACAACCACATACAGTCTTCCAAAAACTAGATTTCTTATTCATTTGTGACACATTGGAGCTCCATAATCCCGAGGGTTGTCTGAACGCTGAGCTTGCTGAAGAAGAGATCTTGCTTCCCTGAAATGAGCTCCTGAAAATATTATTACATCTTCCCTTCTGAGCTGTTCAATATTGTCTGTTGTAACAATCCCAGTCTGCTAATAACCAGGAAGGGAAGTAAAACTTCAAAGGAGAATACTTTCCCTCTCTCAGTCTGACTTGTGTTCCTGCCATTCAATACAACTCATGAACTTCTTTCTCCCTGCATACAACTGAAAGAGAGCAGTACATGAAAGCTGTTAGAAAAATTTGTACAGACAGAGTTTTGTATAGATGGCATGTAATAAACTGAATGGGATGGATGTGAAGGAAGACGTAATTAGAGGATTAACTGGCAGAAAACAAATGAAGAAATGGCTTATGCACAAATGTCCAAAGACATTTTTAACTAGATGATAATCTGTATGATATAAAGGAAAATGAGAAGAAAGAGGAGGATAACAACTTCAAACAGACATGTTTTAAGTCTTGAGATTTTGAACATAAGGAGGGAATTCCTTTTTTGGGATGGTAAATGTGAGAAAATCAATATAAGGGTACCAGAAAAAATAGATTATTTTGGAGGGTGAAAAGTAAGTGAGTCATCACAAAAGGATTTTATGGAATTTTTAGAGATAAAAAGAAATGAAGGAACATGCTGAGGCCATACATTTATAGATAAAAAGGACAGAAACATAGGGAACATTTTGACAAAAAGTGAAGTGGAAATGTATGGAGAAAGGCTGGAGCGATGTAAATAAAATCTAGGTAATGAAAAGTGAAGAGAAGTCAGAAAAATAAAATAATGGTTTTTAAAGAATGAAAGGAACAAGAAAAATAGATCAACCAACTCTAAGTTTTGTTAGTTTCACATACTGCAAGGTAATGAAAGACCACACGTGCTTCTGATTTATAATGATACATTAGAGTTATTTCATTCAGCTTTCTTTGCTTGGAAACAGTATTCAGACATTCAGTTTAACCATTGTTTCCCAGAATGGCAGAACCACAAAGGTGGGAAAGCTATGAGAGTCTAAGAAGTTTCACTGCCATAGAATTGGTTCTGTGGGAAAAATCCAGGACGGTGCTGAGAGGTCACTTATGATCCAATGCCTAAATTGGATCTATAAAAATCTATTCCACTTAATTAGACATTCAGAAAATTTTCTTCTCAATCTAATTATGAACCATTAAAAACCTATTCACATGAATCACAGATAGTCAATGTATATAAAGGGAATAACCTTCTTCCACTGTAGCTAAGGAAAAATTTCTTTCTATATCAGGATAATTATATTTCATTCCTATTTCAGTTTAAAAAAACTCAGACATGCTGTATTGCTGCAGGTAAAATCGCCCTCCCCCAGCACCAACCTAAGTGACTACTGAAGAGTGTTAATTGGTGTTTGTACTTTTTTATTTTGTTAAAACTTAAAAGTATATTAAATCAGTTTGCAAGAAGAAGATACATGTTATATTGCATACTGACACGGTAGTAGAGGCAATCAGTTCTTTAAAGAAGAATTAAAAAAAGAAGAAAGTAATGATTTCCAGAGAAAACTGATGTGATCTCATTCATTACTTGAAGAAACTTTTTATATCTTGAGAGTCATAGGGTTTTTATGTTCTTATTTGACACTGTGAAACTTGACGTTAGCCAGGAGCAGAAAACAAAATTTACATAAGCAATTGGACTCTTTGAGATGTTCATGAGCCAGATAGACCAGAAAAAAATAAACTCAAATATTCCATTTCATTTTTAAGTTAATACTTATCCCATTTAAATGTCCAAATGT